GTAGCTCACACCTGTAATCCCAGCACTTTGGGAGGCTGAGACAGGAGGAAAACTCAAGACCAAGAGTTCAAGACCAGCTTGGTCAACATAGCGAGGCCTTGTCTCTGCAGAAAAGAAAACGAAATTAGCCTGGCATGGTGGTATGTGACTGTAGTCCTCGCTACTCAGGAGACGGAGGTGGGAGGATTCTTTGAGCCTAGGAGGTTGAGGCTATGGTGAGGTATGGTCATACCACTACACCCTACCCTAGGTGACTGAGTGAGACCCTGTGTCTAAAAAAAGTAAAACAAAAATCAACATTGTTTGCAATTTTGAATTGTTATCCACAATGTTTTTTTTTTTGAGACAAGGTCTCGTTCTTTCACCCAGGCTGGAGTGCAATGGCTCAGTCCCAACCCAGTGCAACCTCTGCCTTCTGGATTCAAATAATCCTCCCACCTCTGCCTCCAGACCAGGTGGGACTACAGGTGCCTGCTACCACACTCGGAATATTTTTGTATTTTTTGGTAGAGATGGGGTCTCATCATGTTGCCCAGGCTGGTCTTGAACTCCTGACCTCAAACAATACACCAACCTCGGCCTCCCAAAGTGCTGGAATTACAGCTTGCACCCGGCCAATCCACAACTTTTCGATATTGTCTCTGCTATAGCTAGTGCTCGACTTACGACCACGATTGGTTCCGACAGACCGGTCGTAACACGATTTGATCGTAAGTTGAGTAGGCTATATGCACACAGAGATGGTAGTGCTGCCGGAAGCTGGTCTGCATTATCGTACGCCCGGCTGGGCAACGTTTGCGCTGCCAGACGTGGAGCAGTCGCGGCTAGTGATTATGGTCGTAAAGTCGAATGGTTGTAAGTTGCATAGGTCATAAGTCAATCAATACCTGTATATATTTACCCAAATTGTTCAAGAGAGCTGGGTTAAAAAGTAGAGCCCTGTGCCATAGCTCTAAAGATTTCCCTCTTTTCTTTTCTTTTCTTTCCCTTCTCCCTCTCCCCTCCTCTCCCCTCCACTTCCCTACCCTTCCCTTCCCTTTCCTACATTTTTATTAGGCAATTGGATGCCATTAACTGCAACTAGATATGCAGGTGGAAACACTGGTTTGTGCCAAAATCTCCTCTCCATGAGGAGCCAGAATGGTATGGCTGGAGAACCTCAAGATCTAGAGAAGGGCATTTTAGGAAGAGGCCTATATACAAAGGCCATGAGCTGCATGTGAACTTGGCATTCAAAGAACAGAAGGAAGATAGCATTTGAGCACTTCCAGTAATCCTCTAGGTACCTCAGAATGTCTCCCAAGAAATTGGCACCTTGCTCTGAGCTCAATTTTTTCTTGGTTGGGTTAATAATAATTTCCTTTCTTTCTTTTCTTCTCTTTTTTTTTGAGACGGAGTCTCCCTGTCACCCAGGCTGGAATGCAATGGCGCAATCTCGGCTCATTGCAACCTCCACTTTCTCCTGCCTCAGCCTCCCGAGTAGCTCGGGTTACCTGTGTCCGCCACCATGCCCAGCTAATTTTTTGTGTCTTTAGTAGAGACGGGGTTTCACCATGTTGGTCAGGCTGATCTCAAACTCCTGACCTCATGATCTGGTTAATGATAATTTTCTACCTGTCCATATTACTGAATATCACTTGTTATGTATTCCTCATTGCTACATTCCACTGCTTGTTGGCATCTTTGCTTCATTGTCTTGGCACTTTCAAGATGGCTCAATCCCACGGCTGGCAAGGTGGTGCTGCTTGTCATATGGGAGCTCAGCTGTGGTTGTGGGTGTGAGTGGGAAGCTCCAGTTTCTCTCTCCATGGTCCTCTCCATGAAGAGCTGGAATCGTCACAGTTTGGTGGCTAGATTCCAAAAGTGAGCATTTCAAGAGAACCAGAAGGAAATCGCATTGCCTTTTATGACTTAGTTTTGGAGGTGGCATAACGTCACTAACACCATAGTTACAATTCCACCCAGATTCAAGGCAGAGAAACATAGATCTGTGAAGAGGAGACTCATGCTCATTCTTAGAATTTCATATGGGAACCTTGAAGACATTATGCTAAGTGAAATAAGCCAGCCATTCTACTCACATGAGGTGGCTAGAGTACTCAAATTCATGGAGACAAAAGTAGAATGATGGGCGCCAGGGGCTGGGGGGAGGAGAGAAGGAGTTAGTGCTCAGTGGGTATGGAGTGTCAGTTTGGGAAGATGAAAAAGTTCTGGAGACAGATGGCAGTGATGGTTGTACAACAATGAGAATGTGCCTAACGCCACTGAGCTACACATTTTTAAATGGTTAAAATGATACATTTTATGTTATGTGTATTTTGCCACTATGTACAAAAGGTCATATGAAATGGGAGATGCTGTCACAGCCATTTTTGGAAAAGATGAACCCTCACACACTCTTTTGGATGGTCTGTAGTAGGATGAGCACATGGATGTCTACACGGAAGCATAATATGCCCGCAGACTCAGAACTAAAATCCTCTACCCTAATAAGGAAGGCAGAAAGCCTCAGCGGAGTCAGGGGTCCAAGGTTCTCACATTGTTCAAGAGACTCATCCTCATGCCAGGTGCTTCTCCAAGATTTTTACTCCCTTTTACCATCAGCCTGGTTTCTATGACTCCTCAGAATCTCCCAGTAGTTGGTTTTTTTTCCTTCCTTCCTTCCCTCCTTCCCTGCCCTCCCCACTTCTCCTTCTCTCTCTTTCTCTCTCTCTCTTTCTTGAGGAAGAGTCTCACTCTGTTGTCCAGGCTGGAGTGTGATGGCACAATCTCAGCTCACTACAACTTTTGGCTCTTGGATTCAAGCAATCCTCCCACCTCAACCTCCCTAGTAACGAGGATTACAGGTGTGCACCTTCACACTCAGCTAATTTTTGTATTTTTAGTACAGATGGGGTTTTGCCATGTTTTGCAGGCTAGTCTTCAACTCCTAACCTCAAGTGATTTGCCTGCCTTGGCCTCCCAAAGTGCCAGAATTAGAGGCATGAGCCACTGCGCCCAGCCCTGTTACTGTTTTTTAATCAGTGGGAGAGTTCATCGAAAGGGTTTACGCTACCATACTGGAAGCAAAACTCCTTAAAAAATTGAATTTGTAGTTAAAAAACTTTCCCACAAAAACTTGGTCACTGAGAGGAATTGTTACCAACTTTTCCGTGTGTATATTAGTTTTCTATTGCTGTATAACAAATTACCACAAATTTAACAGTTTCAAACAATAGACATTACACATCTTGAAGTCCTATAAGTCAGAAGATCAGGCATACAGAGGGTTCTCTAGCCCAGAAATCTCACAAGGGGCCAGGATGGTGGCTGATGTCTGTAACCCCAGCACTTTGGGAGGCCGAGATGGGAAGCTCATTTGAGGCCTGGAATTTAAGACTAGCCTGGGCAATATAGTGAGACCTTGCCTCTACAAAGAATAATTAGCCAGGCATGGTGCTACACACCTGTAGTCACAACTACTCAGAAGGCTGAAATAGGAGGATCACTTGAGCCCAGGAGGTCAAGGCTGCAGTGAGCTATGATTTTGCCACTGCATTCCAGCCTGGGCAACAGAAAGAGCCTGTTACCAAAAAAAAAAAAAAAAAAAAAAATAGGTCGGGCACAGTGGCTCATGCCTATAATCCTAGCATTCTGGGAGGCCAAGGCAGGTGGATCACTTGAGGCCAGGAGTTTTGAGACCAGCCTGCACAACAGGGCAAAACTCTATTTTTACTAAAAATACAAAAATTAGCTGGGTATGGTGGTGCACACCTGTAATCCTAGCTACTGGGGAGGCTGAGGTGGGAGGATTGCTTGAATCCAAGAGGCAGAGGTTGCAGTGAGCTGAGATTACACCACTGCACTCCAGCCTAAGCAATGGAGCGAGACTCTGTCTGAAAAAAGAAGTCTCACAAGGCTGCAACGAAGGTAGCAGACAGCTGGGTTGTCATCAGAGCTCAGGACCTCCTATCAAGCTCATTCAGGTATTTGGCAGAATACAGTTACTTCTGGTTGTAGGACTGAGGTACCCATTTTCTTGCTGTTGGCTGGGTTACTGTCGGCTCCAAGAGGCCACTCTCAGGTCCTTGCTAAGTGTCCCCTTCCATCCTGGAGAACCTTCCTCCTATCCATTGCTTCTCACATTGTTAATATCCCTTGCCAGGAAAAGCCCTATCCTACTTAAGGACTCATCTGATTGGGTCAGGATAATATCCTTAGTGTAAAAAAAACTGATTTGGGAGCTTAATTACCAAAATCCCTTTGTAGCAGCACACAAGTTCGTGTTTGATTAACTGGGAGAGGTACGTGTGTACCAGGAGCCAGGAATCTTGGAGGCCATCTTAGAATTCGGCCTACCACAGTATGCCAGTTAGATTTCATTTATTTGTATTTTAAGAGCTTCATTTTCTAAAGTATATAATAAGATATGGATGGTTATAACTATAGTTACAGTTTGCCTCAAAAATAATCTGGGATGAGAGTGGGATATAGATGAAACAAGATTGATCCATGTTGATAAGGTGGAAAACGAGTGTTCATTATTCTCCCTACTTTTGCTAATATATGAATTTTGGGCCAGGCACCACTGCTCATGCCTGTAATCCCAGCACTTTGGGAGGCCAAGGCAGAAGGGTCACTTGAGCTCAGGAGTTTGAGACCAGCCTGGGAAACATGGTGAAGCCCTGTTTTTTTTAAAAAAAAAGTCGCACAAATTATTCAAGAGCATAGAATTTTTTAAACTTTCAAATATGTGTGTGTTGGTGGGTATTTTTGGGGACAAAGTCTTTGTCTGTCACCCAGGCTGGAGTGCAGTGGTAAGATCATAGTTCACTGTAACCTTGAACTCCTGGGCTCAAGTGATCCTCCCACATCAGTCTTCCAAGTAGGTAGGATTGTAGGTATGTGCCACCACAACTGGCTAATTTTTAAATTTTATTTTTGTAGAGACAGGGTCTCACTATGTGGCCAGGGCTGGTCTTGATCTCCTGGCCCCAACAGATCCTCCCACTTCCACTTCTGAAAGTGCTGAGATTACAGACACAAGCCACAAGTGGCACCTGACCTATAATGCAAGTATAACATTAATATCTAAACCAGGTAAAGGTAGCATAAAATTACTTTAGTATTAATAATATTACTTACTTCCAACATTACTTAAGAATATACGTGCAAAAATTCTCAAAATGTTACCTTACAAAATTTGGCAATATATAACAAAGTAAATGTACATTTACCTTTGATCCAGTAATTCCTTTTTTTAAAAGAAATTTACCTTGAAGACATATCCACAATAATACAAAAATACCTAAATGCCCCTAAATATATTGACAGAAAAAAATGTATATACATACAATGGGATATTGTGCTATGTAGTTGTAAAAAAAGGAGAATGGCCTTTTTTACATAATAGTGAAATAGCATGCAGTCCTTCCCAGGATATATTGTTAAGTGTAAAAGCAAATTTCAAAATTGTGCACACACAATGTTACCTCTTCGTGTCAGAAAGAAGGAAAAATGAGAAAATATACATATAACTGTTCATTTTTTATAGAAAGAAACACAGGAAGGAGTAAACCACAGTCTACATGATTGATTGCCCACAGGAGGTAGGTGGGAAGGGGTGAAAGGGATTGGAATGAAGAGTGAAAGTGACACTCATGTGGGTACACAGATTGTATTGCTTTAACTTTGAATCTGTTAATGTTTTACATACCCAAAAAACTTAATAAAGTCCATAACCATAAGGGGCAAAAAACTGAAACTAAAATACAAAAGAAACAAATGAGCTTAATTGTATATTGAATGGAAACCATAACCATACTGAAGAAGGAAAAACTGGATTAACCCAACATTTGAACACAATATTTATACTACATGACAAACTCTATTTGTCAGTTTTGGACAAAAAGTCATAAACAAATATTGAACTCTAGTTCAAAGAGCTTTTGCTTTTTAAAAATTCTATGGGTTAGCAACTCCAAACCTACTTCATATTAGTGTAGGATTGAGCAAATGAGTAAATATATTGAGGATAAAGGGAGCCAGGTTTCTCACTGTTGAAGCAAGGAATCATAATATGGAAAGGGAGAAGACTAGAACAAATCCCGTTATGCTAAAATGCATTGGTATTATCCATGTGAACTATATTTTAATAAATGGATTTAGATGCATGTATATATATATACAGCTAGTGCTCAACTTACGACCATAGTCAGGACTGCAGACCGGTTGTAACACGATTTGATCGTAAGTTGAGTAGGCTATATGTACGGTTGAAATGGTGCACGCGGAGATGGTAGTGCTGCCAGAGGCTGGTCTGCACTGTCCTATGCCCAGCTGGGCAACATTTGCACTGCCAGACGTGGAGCAGTCGTGGCTAGCGATTGTGGTTGTAAAGTTGAATGGTCATAAGTTGCATAGGTGGTAAGTCGATCAATACCTGTATGTGTTTCTTTTTTGGGTCAATCAACTGAAAGGTCCAAAAGCAAAGACACTCTAATACTACTGAGCACACCTAGCACCCAGATCTTGGTTTCTAAATACCATCCTCTATTAAAAGGATCCTCGGAAGCCGGACTTGTTGCTGTGCTAAGAAAGAAAGTACTAAACAAACAGAAACAAAAATAACAAAAAAAGGTGGAGACATATCAAAAGGACATAGGAGCCAACCTGAGTATCAAAATAAATAATATTCATGGAGTAAAATAAGCATATATAAGGTCATACTGATATAAATGAATGAATGAGAAAACTTTTCCTTATGGTAGAATACCAAGTAATAAACACAAATGGAATGACAGAGTTGGAAAATCACCGTATTGCATCCATCATAGTAACAATCTCTTCAGCCATAAGTAATCATTGGTTCTAAAAATTTGTGGGTGAAAGTACAATGAAGAAAGGATAGCCATATTATCTCCAAGTACCCCTTTACAAATTACATATTACAAAGGGAAAAGTCACTTTGGATTAGCCTCATGAACCCCACCTTAACCAATGAACTAAACTAAGCATCATTAATAAATGGAAAACATTGGCATCTCAACTGACATAATGCCCAAAAAAGGATGCCATATCTTTTTTTTTTTTT